AYTGTCAATTTCATATTTGGGGTCCAGGCAGTTGCGACGCGCCAGTTGGTTGAAACACAGGCCGAGTACCGAAGACATTTCCACGGCCTACCGGGCCTTTTCAAAGAATGCAGGCCCTGGGCGTGATTCGCAGCCTCATACAGAGACAGTTGGGCGCCCAACCGAACGAGGCCCAGCAGCCCAGTATCTGCTGCATCCAGGCAGCATCCTGGGGCCTTCCGGAAGCTTTTGGGCCCAGGCCAGCCCAGCCAGGCTGCGAGAGCTGGCCAGCTCTTTTCCATAAAGGAAAGAGCTCTGGCCAGGCAGCCTCATTCAGGCACTCGCATGCTGGGCGGCAGTGCTGCTGGAGCTTATGCTCGTAGGCTGCTGCTAGCGCGGAGAGGCGAGGTGCAGCACGTGCGGTCGTGCAGAGGAGGAGGGCGTTGTCGAGGGCAGCGCCATAGCCCAGCCACCATAGCTGGTGGGCTTGGACTACAGTGAAGCGCAGGGGTGGTCTTCGGGTGACAGAGAGGACAGGTGTGGGTGAAGTCAAGGGATAGGTGAAGGATGATGATGATGATGATGATGATGATGATGATGATGTGAGGGCACGTACCTTGTATTGGCGATGGTCTGCATGGGCGGCATCTTCAAGTACTTCGGGCTGCTGCTGATGTCAACAGTTGCATTGTCTTTTTGTAGTCTGTAGTAGCTGTGTAGGAGTAGGCTGGGCGCTGAGCGCCAAGTGTGAGTGTAAGGGAACTGGACTCTTGTGTTGAGAGGAGAGGGTGTGGTCTCCATGAACACTGGCTTTCAGTGCTACGAAACTCCATTGGTGTATTATTGGTGCAATGCTGCTATCTGGACATGGTGTGACTATTTGGATTGCAATGTGATGGTGTGATCTGGGATTGTCATCTCGCTGTTGCTTATTTTCCTTGCACAATTTACAAGTGAATATCTAGCAGAAACGTGACGGAGCAACAGCATAAACCAGAAAAGCAAACTAGGAACTGGGTATAAAGTACTATAAGAAGTTGCGGCAGGCCAGATGAACTCAAAGAATGCAGCCAAAGGACATCGCGCAAATCCAAACTACCAGCTTTGGAATAATCACAGTAGAGAAGCAGTGAGTGCACTGCCACCTGCTGTGCATAACAGACCAGAACTGAAATATCTAGATGAGAATACAGGGAGCTCAGACTCAAAGCACAGATGAGACCATTGACACCGTCAAAAATGTGCTTGGCAGTAGAGATCAACACGGAGGCTCAACACACAGGATCTGTGTTAGGGAATCATTGGCAGCGGTCAGAGGCTGATGCTACTAAGCCATTCAACCAGCGGGCTGCTGATCCCTCTAAAAAGGAGGCAGCCACTACAACTTCCTGCTCTGGCTTTGTGAGCTTGTGCCTCACATAAGTAGGCACAGTCCTCACCCAGGTGTCCAAGTCTTCCTCCTCCTTTTTATCTCCAGAGAAAGGCTTGGGACTCATCAGAGGTATCTTGGGCATCCACTGCATAGGCTGCATGGGCCCAGGGGATTGCTGCAGAGGCTGCATAGCCACTGAAACAGGCTGTTGCACACTGACCTGGGCCTGGCTTGACAGTGGGACTGTAGTGACCACTGTCGTAGAT